GCGAAGTGAATTGAGCACCACGATCGGTCACCAAACTCGATGGAAGTCCATGAAGGCGAAAGATGTGACCCAAAAACAGATCGGCAGTCTCTTTGGCAGTAGGCACTCCCCCACAGGGAATGAAATGTCCCATCTTGGTGAAGAGATCCACCACTACCAAAATGGTGGTGAAACCTTGGGATTCTGGTAAATCCGTGATGAAGTCGGCCGACACGATTTCCCAGGGCCGACTCGGAGTGGGTAAAGGTTGTAGCAAACCAGCCGGCTTACCCATAGGGTTCTTGGCACGATGACAGACAGGGCACCCATTGACGTATTTCTCCACCTCCTGTCGGATCTTGGGCCACCAAAAGTCTCTCAGCACCAATTGCATTGTTTTAAAGATCCCAAAGTGCCCGGCTGGCTTGGTATCATGGCATAGTCTTAGAATTTCCTCCCGCTCCGGACCGGGCGGCACGTAGACTTTTGAACGATGACACAGCACCCCATCCAACTCCTGAAAAGGGAACTTTAGGCCGGCCTCTAGTTGCTCCTGCACCCACAAGTCCTCTTGCTGTCGCGCTCGGATCCTTTCTGCCAGAGTCGAAGGGGGCCCCGACACTCCGGTGGACGCAAAGTTTTCTGGACGCAAAATGCAGGACTCTGGGCAATCTTCTTGGCCCCGAGTATACTCCGGCTTGCGCGACAAAGCATCCGCCTGTTTGTTCTGAGCCGCCGGCACGTAACAAATCCGGAAGTTGAATCTCTCAAAAAACAACGCCCAACGTTGCTGCCGTTGGTTTAACTTCCGTGAAGTACGAAGATATTCCAGATTGCGATGGTCCGTGTGGACTTCTACTGGTTGCTGAGCCCCCTCTAGCCAATGCCTCCAAGTCTCAAACGCTGACTTGATGGCTAGAAGCTCTTTTTCCCAAATGGTGTAATTCCGTTCTGGGGCAGTTAACTGCCGGGAAAAATATGCACAGGGCTGGAGATGATCTCCCGCAGGTTGTAGTAACACTGCCCCGACCGCCACATCCGACGCGTCGGCCTGCACCACGAAGAGCTTAGTTGGATCAGGATGCTGCAGGACAGGCTGAGAAGTGAAAAGCTTCTTGAGTTGCTGAAAACCCTGTTCTGCCGCCTCAGTCCACAGGAATGGCCGTCTGCCTCTCAGACATTGGGTAATGGGATCTGCCCAGCGGGCAAAGTCTGGGATGAACTTGCGGTAGTAGTTGGCAAAACCCATGAATCTTTGAATGTCTTTTTTGCTCATGGGGGACTTCCACTCTAACACCGCAGAAACCTTAGCGGGGTCCATGGAAATTCCCTCCGCAGAGATGTGGTGTCCCAGAAAGTCTACTTCGTCCAGATCGAAGGCGCACTTTTCCAACTTAGCATAGAGTCCATGATCTCTTAGGCGCTGGAGCACCGCGCGCACCTGTTGCGCGTGGTCACGTGGATTCGCGGAGTAGATCAAAAAATCGTCCAAATAAATGACCAAAAATCGGTCCAAAAAGTCGCGAAAGATATCGTTGACGAAGTGCTGGAACGTGGCTGGAGCATTACAGAGCCCGAAACTCATGACCCTGTATTCGAAACTCCCGAAGCGGGTCTGGAAAGCCGTCTTCCACTCATCCCCTTCACGAATACGCACCAAATTGTAAGCTCCCCTTAAGTCTAATTTGGTGAAAATCCGAGCTCCCCGCAAACGGTTGAGAAGCTCCGGGATGAGGGGAAGCGGATAGCGGTTCTTGATCGTGATGTTGTTGAGCGCCCGATAGTCGTTGCAAAGCCGCAGTTCCCCTGACTTCTTCTTGACAAACAAAACTGGGGCCCCAGCCGGCGACTGCGAGGGACGAATGAACCCCTTGCGTAGGTTAGTATCCAAAAACTCCCGGAGAGCCGCCAGCTCTGGTTCCGAGAGAGAATACAATCGCCCACGCGGAATCGGGGCGCCCGGGATCAAGTCAATAGCGCAGTCGTACGGCCGGTGTGGAGGAAGTCTTTCCGCCTCCTTCTCGCTGAAAACATCCCAGAAATCTTGGTACTTTGCGGGCAACCTGCCC